AAAATATTCAGAACACAGCCACTTGTTTATGTATTGTTTGTGGCTACTTTCATTCTGTTACGGCAGAGTTGATTAGTTGGAACAGACTGTGTAGTCTGCAGAGCTTAAAATATTTACTGTTTGATCCTTTACAGAAAAAGTTGGCCAACTCCTTATCCATTGACTGCCCCCCAACCCCCAAAAAGTAAAAGAAAAATCTGTATATAAATCTTGAATTGTATTTTGTATGCTTGTTTTTTGTAGCCGTCTGGGTCAACTAATCTTAAACCCCTTTCTTTGAATTTCAGAATTAAGTAAATGAATAAATATACTAATGGTTGGGAGCCACATTTCTCACTATTGGAGAAGGGAGGTACAAATATGGAATGGGGAAGGCTAGAAAGAACCTGGATTTGGATTGGAATAGGAGGTGTCAGAATAGATTCAGGAGTTTTAAAGTATTTGGAGACACACACACCCAAACACAGAGAAAAACAGACTTATACACACACATACATACAACATCCACACCCCAGGTGAGTTTGAATAACTTTTGTATAAAGGTAATAGTGTTGTGCCATTAAGGAGCCCTGATGGTGCAGTGGTTAAGTGCTCGGCTGCTAACTGAAAGGTCAGCAGTTCGGCCCACCCATCAGCTCTGCAGGAGAAAAGACCTAGAGATCTACTCCCATAAAGATTACAGGCTAGGAAACCTTATAGGGCAGTTCTGCTCTGACACATGGTTATGCTATGAGTTGAAATCGATTTAATGGCGCCTAACATTGTGCCATTAAGTGTTCTGATTGTGATAATTGTACTGTGGTTGACGTAAATAAGTACAGTTGTTCTTCAGAAATACAGTTGTTCTTATGAAGGGGTAAAAGGGCACGATGTAAAACAGAGTTCCCCAAAGTGGCCTCTGTAAATCTAAATGATCTTAGTGAAATGACACTTTTGCTTCCTCAGGATTAGAATTATAGTGAGTTTATGTGATTTCTTTTAACAAGGGTGTTAACCGTAATTAGCTTGCAGTTCCCTTGTTTAACTCAGAATATTCTGACACAAAAGAGATTCTTTCTCCCACTAAAATCCTTCTCAGAGAAGTAGAGTGTAACAGACTGCAATCTGAATGACTTGGTGCGCCCAAGGGAAGACAGCAACAAATCACAGGGGATCAAAAAATCAAGATTGAGTTCAGCTCTCAAAATTCTGGAGTTACCACATGGTCTCACAGGAGATGACTGGTCAGAAATAGAAACAAACCATGGTTTGGTTACTCAGAGAACCTACGTAAATAAAGTAAACTTGGGGAGCCTCTGAGAGAGCCCCCCAGAGCCTGCTGAGAGACTCAGACATGGCAAGGCTGCCAAGCCCCCGGACCTGAGCACGTTTGAGCGGCTCAGCCCCAGTGTACTCCCAGTATAGCCCAGCAGTCCCAGCCCAAGCAGGTGAAATGCAAAGAGATTGTCAGAAACTAAAAGATCACAGAGGGTTTAAAAAATAAAAAAGCTGAATAAGTATTTATTTATGAGTAAGCAACCTGTAATTCAGATTTATTTCATATACAATCTTTATAACTACCATTGCATATTGTGGTGAAATGAGTTCCTTTATCTGGCCTTTTGCCTTGGTCCTTGGAAAAACAGCTTGAGAGGTTGTCCTCCTAAACCCTGAAGAGAACCTTTGCCCTAGTTTTCTACCCTAGAGGGTTTGTTATATTTCCTGGGTAAGCTGTAAATAACTTGGTTTGGATACTTTTTGTTTGATCATGGGCTGCATCCTGCCCTGTGATTGGTATGCACCTGCAGGGATTCGTCAGTGAACTGGGCAAATGTACTGTCTTGCCTGCTGAGAGGGGATTGTTCAGTTCGTGGCCCTGGTGGGAGGGCCATGCCTTGAAAGTGATGAGGAGTTGGTATATATAAGCAGCCAGTCCCGCAAAGAATTTTTCAGACAGAAAAGCAGGAAGAGACGCAGCAGTAAAAAGCAGAAGAATAAAAGAGAAGTGAAAAGAAGCAGAGAGAGGAGGTGTCATGGATTGAATTGTGTCCCCCCAAAAATGTGTGTAGCAACTTGGCTGGGTCATGATTCCCAGTATTGTATGATTGTGTAATCTCATGTGATTTCCTTATGTGTCGTAAACTCATCACTATGATGAGGTTATATGTGATCTCCCTATGTGTTACAAATTCTGTCACTGTGATGAGGTTATGCTGATGAGGTTTACAAGATTATTAGAGTCTTAATCCGATCTCTTGAGAAGCGAGCAGAGACACACGGGAACATCACATCATCAAGAAAGCAGTGCTGGGAGCAGAGCGCATCCTTTGGACTTGAGGTTCCTGCACTGAGATGCTCCCAGACCAAGGGAAGACTGATGCATCACAAGGACCTTCCTTCAGAGTCGACAGAGAAAACAAAGCCTTCCCCTGGAGCTGACACCCTGAATTTGGATTTGTAGCCTACTGGACTGTGAGAGAATAAATTCTCTTTGTAAAGCCATCCACTTGTGGTATTTCTGAAAGAGTTTATTTCGCAGGCTAGCAAGCGGGAACTCAAAGGTATCAACCTCAGATTGAGTTCCTCGATTTGAGGAAGCATTTACATTTTATAGGTTTGGGGAATTATACATATTCATATAGGGGTGGAGGAAGGCAGGTGGGCAGGATCAGGAAGTTGTACATATTTATAGTTTCTATTGATTATTACAGGGCGGGGCTAAGACTTGACACGGAAGCAGCCGACGGACTCTTAGCTTTTGAAATATGCTCGGCTACTGCAGATGACATACATCCGATGATTTTGGTTCTTTGACATGAGTCTTTTCATTCCTTGGCATGAGTTCTCTTGTGTTATTGAGCATGCATGGCATCCCAGGGTCGTCTGTCGGTCATCTTTGTTCTATGCACGTCTGATCACTCTGAGCTGGTTAGATCTGGTTTGGTCCGGGGCTCTCCAGAGAGTCTGCAAAACAACTTAGAGGAAGTGAGTGACCTGATAACTGGTGGAGTACTAATTAATTAGGTGTCTTCACCTCTAGGGCCCCCTAACAGAAACACAGATCAAGGGCTGTAACACTGAACTTAGCAAGAGACCAGGAAGGATCCCATTGGCATAGTCAGCAGCAAGTTCAGGACGGGCCCAGTGGCAGAGCTGGTGGCCGCAGATGGCAGGGCCAAGAGGAATGTGTCCCGAGGTCCAGGAGGCTACCCTGAGGTTTGAGAAGGGCCTCCTGAGGTGGTTGAGGGAAGCCTGTCCTCAGGGCGCCAAGAGGAGGCCTGCCCTCAGGGGGCTGAAAGGAGGCCTGCAAAGTCTAGAGGAGCTGTCCTGCACTGAAGAAGGGAGATTGTGCGTGCGTGCTTCCTGATCCTCACCCTGAGTTGTGGCCTATTGATCCTGATCCCGAGTTGTACCCTCTTCCTTAATAAACCACTTAACTGTAAGTTTGGTCTGAGTTCTTTGTGGCCATTCCAATGGATTATTGAATCCAGAAGAAAAGCAGAGGGCCGTGGGGAGTACAGCTGGTGTCAGTATTGGGAAAAGTGTTGGAAGGTGGCAGTATGTCTGACTTCTACCTCATGGGAATCAGCTTTGGGCTGATTCTGATCATTATCCCCGGTGAGGTGGGCCGGTTTAGACACTACTACTAAATGCCATTTTTACATATTGACTGTCTCCAACGTTTGAAAGCCTGCCAGATTGAGTGACTTTTTATGTTTGTCAGTCCCTTTTTATAGTCAGAAAAATCATGGAGATTTCCACATAGGTCGTAGAAATGTTATTTCCAAGTACTAGCAAAGTGATATGGGCAGTAGATATTAATGTGAGTACCTATGGCTTATGGGATTTTAGCAGAAGAAAAAGACTATAATAAAAGTGTTTACAGGACAGAATAGTGTCTGATGCTTACTTGAGAAGTTCCTAGTCGGGCTGACACGTTGAAGAAATTTTTGGTGTGGATTATCTGGATTGTAGTACCCCCAAGCCACTGCTGTTGTGGACCTATAGGACAAAGTAGAATTGCCCCATAGGGTTTCCAAGGCTGGAAATCTTTATAGCAGACTGCCACATTTTTCTTCTGTGGAGTGGCTGGTGGGTTTGAGCTGCTGGATTTGGGTTAGCAGCCAAGCACTTTAACCACTGTGCCACCAGGGCTCCTTCTGGATTGCAATAGAAAGTATAGTTTGTAAAAATGGAATATAAATGAATTATTGGTAGGAAACAAATTGTGTTGTATATATTGTTAATTACAAGTGTGACAATAATATTATTAATTGCCATCTAGTGGATTCCAATGCATGCTGGCTCCATGTTGCCAGGTAGAACTGCTCCATAAAGTTATCAAAGCTGTGACCTTTCAGAAGCAGATCTCCAGGCCTGTCTTCTGAACTGGCAACCTTTCAGTCTGTAGCTGAGCACTTAACTGTCTGTGCCACCCAGGGACTCCAGCAATGAGATAGTCTGTGTCGTAAGGAGAAAAGCCCAGGAGCCCACTTATGGCTACTCTAATGGAAACCTTTCTCCCTTCAGCAGAACGAAAGCCAGAACTCCACCCCTGCTCCTCCTGCCTTCTGGCTGTCTCCTGTCAGCGATTCCTCAGCCAACACGTGCTTCCCATCTTCCCAGGCTTCTGTGCGGACCATCACATCCATCCAGGACGTTCCAGCCCAGGGCATCAGAAGCAGCCAGAGCAGCAGGATTCTGAGCAGAGCTGCTGGAGGGAAAACATAGAAGGTCAAGAGAGAGAAGAAGCCTCCAGACCCTTGAGTGGGAGGAGAGGGGAGAGATCGACTTCCAGGGCATTCTCCAGCCCACCCCAAAGACGGTCAACAAGCCCTAGAGAAGGCAACACAGAGGTAGGGGTGGAATCCAACTCGGCCGAAAAGGTAGAGTCTGTGGAAAGAGGCCAAGGGTTGAAGGAATTAGAAACCTCAAGATTTGGAGCAGTCAGCTCTAGAGAGGATGAACCAGACTGTGGCATGAAGTCGGACTTCATCACACACCAGAGGTCCCTCTTACAGGAGAAGCCCTATGTTTGTAGTGAGTGTGGCCGAGGTTTTCACCAGAAATCACTTCTTTTTATGCACCGGAGGACACACTCAGTGGAGCAGCCTTATGTGTGCAGTGAGTGTGGCCGAGGATTTACCCAGAAATCAGTCCTCCTTATGCATCAGAGGACACACTCAGGGCAGAAGCCACATGTGTGCAAGGAGTGTGGGCGAGGGTTTAACAAGAAATCAAATCTCATCAGACACCAGAGTACACATTCGGGTGAAAAACCTTACTTGTGCCTGGAGTGTGGGCGAGGCTTTAATCGCAAATCAAATCTCATCACCCACCAGAGGACACACTCAGGTGAGAAACCTTACGTGTGCCTGCAGTGTGGACGAGGCTTTAACCGGGAATCACACCTCCTTATACACCAGACTACACACTCAGGGGAGAAGCCTTATGTGTGCAAGGAGTGTGGCCGAGGGTTTAAACGGAAATCAGACCTCCTTGTGCACTGGAGGACACACTTAGGGGAGAAGCCACATGTGTGCAAGGACTGTGGGCGAGGCTTCAGCCGGAAGTCGAATCTCATCACACACCAGAGGACACACTCAGGTGAGAAACGTTACGTGAACCTGGAGTGTGGGCAGGGCTTTAGCCAGAAGTCGAGCCTCCTTCCCCACCAGGCAACACACTCAGAGGAGAAGCCATATGTGTGCAAGGAGTGTGGGCGTGGCTTTAGCCATAAGTCAACTCTCATCACGCACCAAAGAACACACTCAGGGGAGAAGCCATATGTGTGCAAGGAGTGTGGGCGAGGGTTTAGCAACAATTCAAATCTCATCAGACACCAGAGGACACACTCAGGTGAGAAACCTTACGTGTGCCGGGAGTGTGGGCGAGGCTTTAACCGCAAATCGAATCTCATCACACACCAGAGGACACACTCAAATGAGAAGCTTTACATGTGCCTGGAGTGTGGCTGTGGCTTTAACCGGGAATCACGACTCCTTATACACCAGATGACACACTCCGGGGAGAAGCCGTATGTGTGCAAGGAGTGTGGCCGAGGGTTTAAACGGAAATCAGACCTCCTTATGCACTGGAGGACACACTCGGGGGAGAAGCCACATGTGTGCAAGGAGTGTGGTCGAGGTTTCAACCAGAAGTCAAATCTCATCACCCACCAGAGGACACACTCAGGTGAGAAGCCTTATGTGTGCCTGGAGTGTGGGCGGGGCTTTAACTGCAAGTCAAATCTCATCACACACCAGAGGACACACTCAGGAGAGAAACCTTACATGTGCCTGGAGTGTGGGCGGGGCTTTAGCCAGAAGTCAAGCCTCCTTCCCCACCAGGCAACACATTCAGAGGAGAAGCCGTATGTGTGCAAGGAGTGTGGGCGTGGCTTTAGCCACAAGTCAACTCTCATCACGCACCAAAGAACACACTCAGGGGAGAAGCCATATGTGTGCAAGGAGTGTGGGCGAGGGTTTAGCAATAATTCAAATCTCATCAGACACCAGACGACACACTCAGGTGAAAAACCTTACACGTGCCTGGAGTGCGGACGAGGCTTTAACCGCAAATCAAACCTCATCACCCACCAGAGGACACACTCAGGGGAGAAACCTTACATGTGCCTACAGTGCGGTCGAGGCTTTAACCGCAAGTCAAATCTCATCACACACCAGAGGACACACTCAGGGGAGAAACCTTATGTGTGCCTGGGGTGTGGGCGAGGCTTTAGCCAGAAGTCAGGTCTCCTTTTCCACCAGAGGACACACTTGGGGTAGAAGCCACATGTAGTGTGGCCAAGGCTTTAGCCAGAAGTTAGGCCTCATCACACATCGGAAGACACACTCAGATAAGAAGCCTTATGTTTGCAGTAATTGTGGCTGAGGCTTTAACTGGGAATCCAGCTTCCTTATACACTGCGGGACACACTCCAGGGAGAAGCTACATATGGACGGAGTGTGGTTGAGGCTGTAACTGCAAGTCAGTCTCATCAGACACCAGGGGATACGCTCAGGTGAGAAACCTTACCTGCCTCTGGAGTGTGGGTGAGGCTTCAGCCAAAAGTCAGGCTTTCTTCATCAGGGGATGCACTCAGTGGAGAAGCCACGTGTGTGCCAGGGGTGTGAGTAAGGCTTTAGCCATCAGCAAACCCTCATACATCAGCGGGCTCACTTGGGTGAAGCCCTATGTTTGCAGTTAGTGTGACTGAGACTGCAAATCAGTCCTCCTCTTACACCAGAGCACACAGAATAGAAGCTTTGCGTGTGCAGGGAGAATGGGCAAGAATTGGGAGAAAGGCACACTTCAGTATACATCAGAGAATAGTTTTTTTTGGGGGTGGGGAGAATCATCATGTGGGGAGGGAGAATGGGAGGTGCTTTGGCAGTAAGTTTTACTTCCTCTTGCACCAGAAGTCACTCAGGGAGAGAGCTGTGTGGGCAGGGTCTGTGGGTGGAACTTCATTCTAATGTCCGTGCTCAGCTGACTTAGGACAAAACGTTGCCATCACAAATCACTACTTGACCCATCTCTGAGGGCATTTCAGGAGAAGTCTCCTGACCGCCTATGCCCTGTATGAGGTGACAGAGTCAGTAGTAACGAAATAGACTGATTTTCCACATTCTGTTACCATATGGAATAGAAAATTAGAAGGCTTTACTTAAGCAATCCTAGAGTGGTTGACTTGTTTTGTTTTCATACACCCAATTCTTTTCCATGTTTTGTTGTCCCTTCATTGTAGTAAATATTTTCTTTAATAAACTGTAACTCAGGCTGTGTTACTCATCTGTTCTGAATGGCACATGGAAATAAAATTCACACTTCAAGTTTCTTGAATGAATTCAACCCTTAAGAAAAAAATAAGTCCTAAATACATTTATTGGGAAATCTGATCCTTTGCATGGGGAGAGGACTGATCTAGGTTTTGGAGACAGATGCTAGATGAAGGGACAGAATGTCCCACATCTCCAGGGACTCAATTATCTCTTCTCCTAACTGATCATTTTTTTTTTTGTCACTACCTTCTGCTGGCTTCTGTGAAAGCTCCCCTCCCTGGTTTTCCTTCGTACTTTCTAGTCTCTGTTCTGGTTTGCTGAATCTTTCTCCTTCCATTGAAGTATTGCTGTTCCCTAATGCTCAGTTCCCAGTTCCAGTTCCAAGGTCCTTTTAACCACCAACTGGAAATAAAGAGAAAATGATTCAGACTCACCTAGCTATAGGGACTGACAAACCCAAGATCAGCAAGTCAGATGGCAGGCTGCTGGCTCATGGGCTGCAGAGGTGGACAAATCCAAGATCAGCAGGTAAGACAGCAGGCTGCTGGCTCAAGTCCCCAAACTAGAGGTCAGATGATGATGAGGCAGATGCAGGATCCAGAGTCAGCAAAAGCCAGCAAGCTTTGCCAGGAAGTCCATATATTTTGGATGCAGGACACCCCCCCAAGAAACTCCCTTTCAACTGATCGGTTTTTCATAACTGATCACACCATGGAGGTGATTAAATTATATCAGATGGCATTGTGGAGGTGACTACATCATTACATAACTGCCAAACTAATTGTCAAACCACTGAGAATCATGGCCCAGCCAAGTTGACACACAACTTTAACCATTCCAAGCCTCCAGTGTGATGCCTGACCCATGAATTTGGGATTTGCGAGGCTCCACAAGTGCATGAGCCATTTCCTAGAGAGAAATCTCTATATACATTTCACTGGTTTTGCTCCTTTAGAGAACCCAGCCTAAGACATTTGGTATTGAGATTGCTTCTAGAGGAACACAATTGTAAGGATGAATTCTGAATTGGTTCTCAAGTCTGGCTAATCTTAAAGGCACTGATGACTCTGCCTCCAGTAGTAAAAAGGACACTGCTAATCCATGTTGTGAGGTGGCAATAGAAATGTGCAAAATATCACCACCAGTATATCAAATACTTGTATGAGAATCAACGCTCTGTATGATTTTATATTTGATACTTTTCAACAGTGTTGTCAGAGTTACAGCCCAAGCGCTGCATAAAAGACCTGAAAGTTGCCACAAGTACCCTGACTTATTTCTTGTAGTAACAGAGCTGATAATGCCAAAAACCAAACCCAGAGTCTTGCTGTAAGAGTGGCTGAATAATAATGCCAATTGAATTTCCAACATTGAATGGTGTCTGAAGTTAAGGTGAGGGCATTGATTGGGAAGAAATGAGATCCTGAAACTTGGGATGGGGACATATGGGCAGATAATCAGAAAGCTGGGGACCCTGGGCACCTAAATTGCGTTGAATCACTCCTGCCAACAGAACCAGCTCTCTTACTCCCATGTTAACAGATTACTCCATTTTTGCCTGCTAGACACCCTCACTAGTAAAGCCATTATTCTTTCCACCCCCATCTGATGAGATTAATCCAGCTGTTTCTCCTGAAGAGTCTTTGTGTGAGATGTCACTTTTGTGGCACCTGGGGCATCGCCTGAGGCAGATGCCTCACAAGACATTGCTGAATATTCTCAGGACCCATCCGCACCACCCATTTTTGCTTCTAGACCTACAACTAGACTTAAGTCCCAGTGAGCCCCAAAAGGTGAAGGACATACTGTGACCCAGCAGGAAGTATGCTCTACTCCAAAAGAACTGCTTGACGTCTAATAAATGCAAACAGAAACCTGGGGACTATGTGTGGGAATGGCTATTAAGAGTGTAGGATAATGGTGCAAGGAACATCAAGTTAGGTCAATCTGTGTATTAATATGGGCACCCTAAGCACAGATTCTTCATTCAATTTCAGCTCAAGGAGTTAGGAAGGATCTAATAGTTTATTTGTTTGGCTTGCTGAAGCATGGATTAAGCGGTGGCCTACATTAAATGAAGTTGAATAACAGACAGAGGGAAGACGGCCATGTGAAGACAGAGGCAGAGATTGGAGTTATGGCGCCACAAGTAAAGGAACTCGTGGAGCCACCAGAAGCTGGAAGAATCGAGGATTCTTCCCCACAGCCTTCAGAGGAGCATGGCCTGCCAACACCTTGATTCCAGATGTCTAACCTCCAGAACTGTGAGCGAATAAGTTTCTGTTGTTTTAAGCCATCCATTTTGTGGTAATTTGTTACAGCAGCTTTAGAAAATTAACACAAGGAGGTTGCCCAGAGAGCAGTGTGTGCCCACGGGGAGCTTGGTTGGAACTGCCAAGAGTGAGTCTGGAGCATGCTTTGTTGAGTGAGGTCTGCATCAAAGGACCACGCTAGCGACATGGCAGAGGCTGATGTGAAGTAGTGGACACTTGTTCCCGTCCCTGGAAGGGGCCCTGGAATCATGTTTGCTGTGATTGTTTCACTTGGTGTGAAGCAAGAAGAGGCGTGCAGCATGAGTCTGACTCCACTATTAACCATCACCATGTCTTTGGGACTCGATGTCCTCGGCTGTCTTCATCCACTCCTGCCCCAACCCCTTTCTTCTCCTCCTCCACATCTGTGGGAACAGGGTCTTTGGTAAGACTAAGTAGAGAAAGTTCTTTTTAGCATAATGATAACTCATCCATGTTAGGAAGCTGATCAGTATTAGCCAGTGAGAGATGAGTTTGTCCTGTAGATGCTTCCCCTCATGGCTCTAAAAGCCTTCAGCCTCCCTTAAAAGTGAGATGCAGCCAGAAACAAGATACCACCACAGCTGTGGGCCCTTGGAGAGCTTCTCCAGGACTGAGCCAGGCTCTTGGGGAAGGGCAGAGGAGCATAAAATACTGAGTGGAGTGTGCAAGGGAAGCAAGAAGGGTCTTCTGGAACCCCATCCCAGACCGGGTCCATATTGCTTAAAAAACTGGATAATACCCCTTTGTGTCATCTTCAAAACTTGGCATGTGTCCTCAACCAGCTAATGAAATGGGTTTCTTTTTGGTAATGAACATACTACGCATTCCTCCAAGCATTGCAGATATAAGATGAAGGTTAATAAAATTTTTTCCAAGCTGCAATTCCTGTTACAATCTCATTTCACAACTAAACAAAGTACTCGTGGAATGTGGAAAACAAGTCAGAATTCGCCCTTCAGCCTTACCCCATCCTCTTCTACACAGAAAATAAGCTGCTTTTTCATTTGTTTTCTTTCACAGTCAGACTTCAATGGGTTCCACACCATGCATAATTTAGGAGCCAGAGAGGCAGCGGTCGCACTAGGAAGACCGCCAAACAGCGGGTACAGAATTTAATGTAATGGGCCTCCTCTTGCTTACGCACCTGACTCAAATCAGACAATTCAGAGCACACAATAGGCTGAGGAGAAGCTGGAAGGAACATGGACCACCTTGCCTCTTATTCATCTTAACAGTTAACTGCATTTACCAAATGATACAGGAATGAAGATTTCTGACCTTTTTCAACTAATGTAATATCAAATTGTAATTTTTTTTTTTTTTGAGAAAAGAACTTTGCATTCTCAGACATTTTTCCCTCCTAGTAGAATATAAGCTGAAGGAGTAGATTATCAGATCTCCTTAGATGTTCCTACAGAGGAGATTTTAAATGGAAATCTTGTCTCTATTTAAAAAATTTTTTATTGTGGTTATATATATATGTATATATATATATGCATAACAAAACATTTGCCATTTTAACAATTTTTAAGCAGCACTTCAGTGACATTAATTATATTTGCCATGTTGGGTAACTATCACCACTATCAATTTCCAAATGTGAATCTTGGAGTCCTGGGGTGGCGCAGACAGTTAACATGGTTGGCTGATAATTGAAAGCTTGGAGATTTGAGTCCACTCAGAGGCACCTTGGAAGAAAGGCCTGGTGATCTACTTCTAAAAAAATCAACCATAGTTCTATCACATGTGTCATGAGTAGGAGTCCACTGATGGCAACTGTTTTTTGTTTGTTTACTTAAAACAAACTCGGAACTCATTAAGTAGTAATCCTACATTGACTATTTCCCCCATCCTTAAATGGAAATCTTGAGGTAATTGAGT